GCAATGTCCAAAATGTGGCTCCAGTAGTGAAATCATAGAGCGACCGAAAGTTCACTAATGTTAATTTTATTGTTAACATTAGTGAACTTAGTTTAAAAAGTATACACCTATAACCGTAGTTTAGCCACTAATGTTAATTTTATTTTTCATGTATTTCACCCTATCTATAAAACTATTTAAAGGAATCCAAAAAATTTTGTTAACAATTATTAAATATTTTTTTTCAAACTTAATTTTGTGCAAAGTTTTTTTTCTTAAGATCATTTATGGTTTTTATAACTTATTTTAATGATGAGAGAAAAATATTTTAATTGTAAGTTATGAATTTGATTTACATTATTTCAATTTATGCATTTTTAAAAGACTAATTGCGTGATTTTATCGGAATTGGTGGAAAAAGTTTCCGAGTAATAGAACATGGAAAAATACGCATTTTTATTTTTTTTTCTCTTAAGAACAATTTGATCCATTTTGCTTGCAATTGCGATTTTGTCATTTAAAATTACATATCTTATTATATTTAGATTATTTCTGTACCTAAAATCTTTGACCATAATTGAAATAAATAATAGCGAATGAGAAAAAAACATAGGAAAGTATTTTTAGGCAAGATTTATTTTTAAACAAGTAAATTATATAAAGTTACGTATTTTTTATTTTTAGTTTTTGTAAAATAATTTTAAGAATATCAGGAAATACGCAAAAGGAGAAATTAACATTAAGGGGTTAAAGTATCTTTACTTTTTTTCGTTCTGAATTATTGGGAGCATATTTTCCAAACTGAGGCTAAATTTCATATTTTGAGAATTGAAAATCTATATCCAATGAGAAAAAAAAATACGCTTATTCAGAGAAAGTATGTTTTTGAGACTGATTTTGTTCTTTGAAATTAATTAACATATCAAAGTTTAGTACTTTAAACTATTAAGAATACATTTTAGTACAATAAATCGAAAAATTTGCCATGTTTTCCGCGTTTTTTTATTTTGTACGCTGTATACATTAATTACGGTGCGGTATATTTAATGACCATATCGTTACACTGCGCTTTATTTAATGACCTTATCGTTTAATTCTTTAAACTATTAAGAATACATTCTAGTACAATAAATCGAAAAATTTGCCATGTTTTCCGTGTTTTTTTATTTTGTACGCTGAATACATTAATTACGGTGTGCTATATTTAATGACCATATCGTTACACTAATATCGTTTTGATTGAGAAATAAACATTTGACCTGGTATATTTTTCAATCATTTCCAGACCATTTATTCTTAAGTGCTCAAAAATAGTTCTAATCTCATGTTTGTGAATGTTAACTCACTTAGGGTGCATGCAATCTTTAAAGTACGAGGAATTATATATTTAAGAACTTTGTATATGGTAATTAATTTGTGAAGACGGCAGAAAAGATAGAAGTCAGACACACATATTTCTGAATGAGAATTTTTTTTTGACGGTTTTTGATTTTCAATCCTCAAAATATGAAAAAAATTATATTAGATTGCAACTACATGGAAAATATAGTCCCTATAGTCAAGTCATAAGAGGTGATTATTTTTTGCGTTTAAATCTTAGCTCCAATTTGTGTGGGGCGATTCTATAAATTTTTGAGCACAATTTCAAAAAAGTTTATCTAAAACCAATTCCAAGTAAAAACAAGTTTAATAATTATTTTATATTTGTAACTGTTTCCTTAATACATTTTTCAAAAAAATTTTGATTGAAGAAAGAATTTTTTTTCTCATCTTAGTTAATATAATTTAAATGATCAAATCTAAAATTAAAGAAAATAATAAAATTATTTTTCATAAGCAAAATAATTTAACAAAGATCATGCTTAGAACAACTATTCAGGAAATTTTTGCCTTTTTTTTAATAATTTAAATTTAAGGTCACATTAATACAGATGGTGTTGATAATTTTCTGAGATATAATTAAAAGAGTTTTCTACACTGTAAAAATTGTGGATCAAATTACGGTACTTTCATTTTTACAGGAGCATGTTACAGAACTAAAATCTGCCATAGCGCTATTTTTACAGTAATAATTATCGTAAAATCACTGAACAACTCTAATTAAATAAATATTACAGTAAAAACTACGGTATGACATTTCATGGTAAAAATGGATTTTACAGATGATATATTTAAAATGCCGGTAAATCGTAATTTGGTTTGGAAGTTTTACAGCAAATGCTTTGCGAAAAAATAAGTTTTCAAAAAAGCTTTTAAATAGCTTTTTACTTTTTAAAATAATAAATAATGCAAAAAAATATGATTCGTTATTAGAAATTATTTTTTGCATGGAGTTCATTTTGGATAAATAAACTCAATACATTGTTAATCATGTTCAGAATAATGTTAATAATACAATTTGCAACAAAGCATAAAATGATTAATAAAACTTTAAGAGGACAAGTCATCTAGCCGATCTCTTTGTTGATACTATTCAGACACCTTTTCTAAATTGTTAATTCACCAAATATTTTGAGAGTCAGGACAATTCAATTTTTAAAAAAAAAGCTTATTTGTTTTGTCTAATTTACTAAATCAATTCATTTGTGACTCTAATTAATTAGTATATTTAAAACCTATTTTAATCTTTGGAAGATGTTGAATTGAACAGAGTTTTGTTTCAAATTGATGGATATTATCGAGTAATCGAGTTCAAGAAAAATTCGACTTTACGAATGTATGACTTAACTTGGCATTGTATTGCAACAAATTTGGCTTTTTTCAGCGTATTATAAAAAAAGCGTATTACCAAAACAACTTATATTTGTTTCATACATTTACAACTTAAAAATTATTGAAAAAGTAAATATTCGCAAGAAATCAGATCATCAGTGATTTTTCTTTTATTCAGGATTACTTAGTGAAACAGACATAAAAACCTTCAATTTTATTTATCATTTATTTAATATTACAAATAGTATTGAGATGAAATTTGACGTTTTTTAGGTTTTATTTCTAAATAAGAAATAGTTAATATTGATATAACTAATATTTTACTGTCTTTTGTTACACTTTCAATAACTGTAAATATTTTTTATAGAATTATCAGACATAAAAACGTAGTCTTTTCTGTTGCTGGTTATGGAAATTTAAGTTTCCAAAAGGGATGTAAAAACATTTTAAATGGATAACTGGGCTCTCTCTAAATTAATTCCAAGATTGCATGATTGAAGTAAAGTCGAATTAAGTATGAATAATAATACTCAAAAACTAATTTTCTACATTAACTGTCAAATGGCTTTTAAACAACTAACAACTACTAATGGGACGAGAAAAGAAATCAGTGATAATATACTTACCAAAAATAGAATTGAAAAAAATAAATTATAATAACTTTAAGTAAACAGAAGAAAAATCTTTCTCTATTACATTCCTTCTTTATAATCTTTCGCTATATATTCTAAAAAACCCATGTCACTATTTCGTTCATATATTATTGCAATATTTATAATAACGCATTTACCACTCAATATTTTTAAATTAATTTAAGCGCAGGATTTTTATTCTGCAAAAAATATTGAAAATCAAATCCTTTATTTAAAATAAAATAGAATTTAAAAAAAAAATTAAAAACGCATTGTTTTTCTTTAAAAATGCACGTTTCCAAATTAGATTTCAAAAAATTAGCAATGGGTAACTGGATTCTCGTCATTTCAGCCACAAATTATTTTCATAAAATTCGAATCAAGTTTGAATAGCAATACTCAATAAAAAAATTTCTACTCTAACTCTCGAAATAATTTTAAACTACTACTATTGGGACACGAAATGAAATTAATAATTAGTAACAAATATTAGAGTGTTTCCATACTTTTTAAAATATAATTTTTTTAAAATTTCCTTTCTCAAAAATATCTAATTTAAAATGCTTTAGTATTATAATTTCAGTTTAATATTAACATGATTATTACAAACATACTTTTGCTCAAGTTTTTATTTCAGATTTTAAAGATATTTTAAGTATTTATTACTGTCCAATAACTTCCGGTTTAATTTTATAAGTTACGTCAAATCAAAAATTTCGGGAATTTACTTTAAGAACAAAGTGCAATTTAAATACCGTACATTTTAATTTTATTAAACAGAATTTCGGTTTTTATTTTTTGATAGAAATATCATTTCCATACAGTTTGATATTTTTACTAGAATTATTTTTTCTTTACGTAATTGAAAAGAATAACTATCTTTAAGTATTCTAAAATTTCAAATAATAGCCGTTTTTTAAGGTACTCTAGTATCTCGAACAATAGCTTTTTTTTGGTACTTTGGTACTTTGAATAATAACTTTTTTGAAGTGCATGCTCGCTTTTATGGTTTAAATTACATAAATAAAGTGTATTTAACAAAACAAAACGCATTCTTTTGTAAAATATCGAAGACAATAACCTAAATTAAAAGTAAGTTTGTTTCATAATATAAAAAGTTAAAAAAAGTTTTTTAATCATAATCTGATAGTGATAACAACAGCAAACTTAAAGTGTTTTACGTTTATATTTGTGTATTTTGAAATACATTTGGTTAATCACGCTATTTGAGGTTTGTTTAAATAATTTATTCTTAATCAAAAATGGATCTATACATTTATTAATACTTAATATCATTTTGAAATGACAATCGTAGTGAGCTTTGAGTTTAAAAAAGAAGTACTTTTGCTAACTTAAGTCATTAATTCTGCGATACGTTTCTGCGATACGTTAACAAATTACATTAATTGATCTTAGTAATCAGTAAAAACTTTTCGCTTTTCTATTGATTAAAAGAAAATTTAATTGTAAGAAAAACATGTTTATAAATGGCATAAAGTATCTTTTTACAGAGTTTTAAACTCAAAAAACAACCGTCTTAGATTTTTTCGATTTAATGAAACAAAATATTAAATAAAATTAAGCAATTTTCAAACGTAAATTCGTCTGCTCTTACTACCATTTCAAACAAGAATTGTTAACAATTGTTGAAGCAAACTACAAAAAAATTTAACTTACCTTAAATCTTCGTTTGCACACTATAACTTAAAGGGTATAACGTAATTCAACAAGTGTTTCTCTAAATAAATTTTCAAACATTTTTCAACTTTCCTAACCAAATTAACTGCAAGTTATTAAAATCATCGGGTCTTAGTTTTTAAATGTTCTGTTTAGTATAATTTACAGTCTTCTTGAAACACTTCATTAGTAGAGAAAATGACACAAATCACATGTTTAAAGTCAATGAGAGCGAAAAGCGGCCGCTACTTCACAAAAGGAGATGATGTTCAGATTTGTTGCTTGTATGGGAAAAAGAGAGAGCTGTTTCTCTTAGAGAGAGGAAAGAGCGTCTACTTCTGGAGCGCCAGATTGGCGGTTTAAGTAGAGTTTAGTTCGTCGATAGGTTAGGCCGTCTTGCGGACTGTACAATAAGTAGTTGATTTTTTTTTTAAAATTCCATAAATAGTGTATACGCTGAAAACAAAAACAGATATAATTATCAAGGTTTTTCAATTCACTTATTCTAAAATTTTGTATGATTTTATGCTACTAAATTTGCAAATTTAATCTCGGATATCATTACTTTTTTAATAAATATATTTTTTGGTACATTTCTGTAAATTTGTTGGCACAAAATAAAACATTTAAGTTTATTTTTCTACTTAACTATTTTATTTAAATAATATCTTACACTTACTTATATGAATTTTAGAATCGTATAAGTTTAAACACAAACGCTCATTAATTTCATCATATCTTTGTTTGATTCTTTAATTTTTATTAAATGCATAGAAAATGTAATTAATTTCATTGTATATGTGTTTGATTCTTGAAATGATGTTGAATTGAATGTTGTTTGATGTTAAATTTTTCACCAAAAGCATAGAAAATAGAATTATTGTCATTAAAGAATGCAAAATACAGTATTTATAGTATTTAAATGTAATAATTTTTTAGCTTTTGCTTGTAAAATTACTTCCATTTATTTCTGCATCAAGTATACGTAGTTAAAAAAAGGTAAAAATATATTCGACTTTTCAAAAAATGAATATTCTACAGTAACATTAACATCTTAATGTCTACATCAGATAATGTAAAATACACTTCATGTGAATCACTTGGACATGTGCAACAGAAATTAAAACCCTAAATCCAAATCACATGCGAGATTCACTGAGATTGGAATAATACAGTAAATGAAATTTTGTGCAATTTAGCCAGTATGCAGCGAGTGTGGGAAGTGTGGCAATGATTACTTCAAGAAAGTTTCTAATTAAAGCTACTTTTATTAAGGAATTATTAATTCACTTATTTTATACTGCATGACATTTCTGTCGCTTTGTTATTTGGTCTTGTTATTACTTTGATTCATCTAATTTTGCATAGACATTGAATTCAATTTCTCCCTTTTATAATTGCGTTGGTGATGCATTAACCCATTTTAGGCAAGACATAGAATTTTTTTTTTTATATAAAAAGTAGTATTATTTCGAATAAAATATGCTTAAATTATATTCATTAAGATACAAAAATTTTTCTCACATAAAAAATAATATTTCACTTAAGAAATAAAATAGTGCATATATGTACAGTCTGCAAAAAAAAGAAAAGATATCACCCTGATTTACTTTCGTTCTAATGATCGGATTTTCACGTACTAAGGGCCAATCTTAATGGTTTCTAAGGGTGACCTCAAATATGCTAATTTTTTAGTGCAGACTATTAAGTTGCGAAATTGGACACAAAAACGTACTTTCAATGAATAAACATATATATTTGTTTTACGTATTTGGATTCCTAATCTTAAAATATAGGTTGTAGCCGCAATCTGGGACATGTGGTCCCCATAGTTTGGTCAGGAGAGTGATTCAAAGTTTGAACCCCATAATATTAATTGCACTTTTTGCGTTATTTGTCATATTTTTAAAACTAATTAAGCAATTCAAAAAAAAATTCACCCACTCATAAAATTCATTTACCTAAAGATAATTTCAGGCAAAAATATTTTTTAATAATTATATTATTTTTTATTATTTAATTAAATTGAGGATGAAAAAATTTTGACTTACAAGATATGAATTTTTTATACCATATTAATCTACAAATTTTTCAATTGAAAAATATGAAGTTTCAACTGTTTTTATTAAGTAAAAGCTGAGAAAAATTAAAATTAATCATTTTTAAAAAAATAATTTGGCGACAATGAAGAAATATTTAAATGGGGCGATTAATATTAAAATGTGGTTAACTTACGAGGAGCTTGACTTAGCGAGTGTAGGGTAAATTTCATTCATAATTTTTACTCTAATAACCCATAGCTAATCTTTTTATTTTTAATTTTTCTTTAACTATAACATACGATATTTCTTTTTTAGTATACGATGTCTTTTTTTATGTAAAAATTTATTTGTAATTTAGTAAAGAAATTTGAAAAAAAAAACATTTTATTGAATAGAAATCATTTTATTCAATGAGTGTCAAGTTTTATAAAAGCATGCTTCAGATAGAACATGATTATACACCAGATTGTGCTTTTTTAATGTGATTATAATTTATTTTTTAGTTTATTTTTTCAATAATTCATACAATTTCAATAATATACATATCTATGCATAAATTTGGAATAATATATTTATCAATTTCTTCAATATATATTTGACAATTATTAATACGATTGCGTAGTCAACATTTTTAAGCATCTTAAAATTTCCCAACATCTTATATATCATCATAATCTTAAAATATTTCTTTAATCACCTGTCCGGGCATGTTTTGCAGAACTATTTTACCAACTATTTAATTAAATTTCAGCATTTTTAAAAATCCTATTCTTTACGCTATTAAGTATATTATTTCTTCATTAATATACTAATCAATTTTTTTAGTACTAAAATTTAGGTTTTCTTTAAAGTAGAGTTCCTTTTTGAATTATTGCCTGATAGCTAGAAATAAAACCTTCCTAAGAAATTAAAAGCATTCTGCTGTTTAAAATTATTTGATGCAAATCAGCTGACTATTTACTAAGCATAGCTTCTTGTGACTTCAACATAGATTATCTAAAATAATGTTGATGTTTTATAATTCATTTCAGGGAGTACCGAACACAAAAAGCTGCCAAATGCGTAGCCAAAATTTTTAAGCGTCTTAAAATATCTTAGTATCTTAAATGTCATCCTTAACATCTTAGTTGTGAAATTAAAATTTTAATTATCTGACCACGTGTGAATCACAGAACTATCCAACTAATTATTTCATTATATCTTTTGCCCTTTCTTTATGATACCATGTAGATTTTTTTCCGGATAATATACTAAACTATTTTGTTTAATTTTTACTTGTCCTTAGAGGTTTTCTTTAAATTAGCACTCGTTGTAAGTAATTCCTAAGTTTTTTTTAATGCATCAGAACTATAGCCAGTTAGCTGATAAGATTTTAAAAACATGTTCTATGTTAAAATTACTCAGTGCGAAATGTCTGACTGATCGCAATAAATAAATGCACCCTTTTCTCTAAGATAGAACAAATAAATTATTTATTTATTAAAATTATTGCTTCTTATTTGTTTGGTTTGTGAAAAGTAAAAACGTATTAGTGCAACTCAAATAACCACACTTGTTTACCTTTTTTTTAAATGAACAAATTCGAACAACAATTTTATTTTGACATTTAAAATTATGCATTACACAGTTAATTTTAAGAAAATTGCTTCTATAAAAAAAAAGATGCTGAAAAAATTCACTTTTGCTAAAATTATTTTTCAATTTTTGCAGGATTCCCAAGATATTATTATAGTATAATTTGTTATTAGGAAAATGCCTTATTTCGTTAAACAGCAAATACTAAAAAGTGAAATTTGTAAAAAGATTCCGAAGCCATGCCAACTTTAGAATCATCTGATTTAATAAAAATGCAATAAAAATAAGCAACTTTCGAACTTATTTTGATTAAAAAAAGTACGTGGCGAGAAGGTTAACATACTTTTACAGAAACTGTGAAAACCAATTTTTCCTACATATCGTCATAAGAGGATAAAAATTATATTGCTCCAAGGAACCTACTCAATAATTTCGTTATTTCGAGAATGAACATATTATTCCTTGAAAACTAAAACGAGAAAAAAATTAACTTTTATTATTTATCTAAGCTTATTTCATTTATTTAATTATCAGGAAGGATAAGGAATCTCCGTTTACTATTAAATGCATTAAATCAAATAGCTTGAATAATTTATTTTAAGCAAATTATAATAATTTTAAAGAAATAAGGGTGTGAAAATAAACTCGATTGAAATACTCCTAAAGTATAACCTAAAATATATGTGGAATAAACTTTGGAATCGATAAATAAAAAATACCTTTTCAAACAACTTCGAGAAAGACGGAAACGCTAACGTGTTTGACATAGCTCTCCTTGTAACTATTTAACACTAGAAAGACTGAAATACCTATATTGCCCAAGAGTAGTGAAAATTACTGCATTGTGAAAGAATAACTAACGTATCAAGAAATTTATTTAAAATCAATTTTTAATATTTCTGATATTATTTTTAGTTATATAACAAGTTATTAGTAAATATCAGCAATAAAAATTATTATAAAAGTTACAAAACTCTAAGAAATTATGTCATCATTGTTTTTCTAATTGAAATTAAAAAGCAGTCAAAATGACTTCCTTGGGCAATCTAGTGCTATTTTTGATTCTTGATGTTAGAGGACGTTCCACATCCACATTCGACTTTTGAAACTTCAATTGTAAACGGAATTTTTTTTACGTCCTTAAAAATGTAAAGGCTTACAGTAGAGAAAAAAAACTGATGATACTGATGATACTACCTAACAATAATCGTCCGGAAACCAAAATGTCATGGAATAAGGAAAGAAAACATGCGACAGAAAACATACTTTTGGGGGGGGGGATGATTCCCCACTATGCATATCTCATTTTTAATAAATCTTGGTAAATATTCCAAAATGAAATTTTTGGAAAACTCCTGATCGTTTTGAGCTTTCTTTCAAAAAGTACAAAAATTACTTAGAACATTGCTTGAAACTTTTTAATTTTTTATGACGCTTAAATCAAACTTTTTTCATAAGTTGCCAAATACGATTCCCTACAAAATTAAAAAAAATATATTTATAAATTTTTTTGCACATGCGCATTATCAAAGAACTATTTTAAATACTTACATCTTGCTCAGTTTTTAACTATTTTTTAAAATTTTAAATAAATAATTTTGTAATTAGTCTTAAATTGTAATTAGCAAAAAACAAGGTAAAAAATTAGTTTTTTCATGTCTATAGCTCCATGAATATTTATTCCAGGTATACGAAATTTTTTGCAGTTATTTA